GCACTGGTTAAGTTTACACGTTCAGCTTCGGCAGCCCAGGGTTTGCCGGTTTGGATCCCGGGTGCGGACATGGTACCACTTGGCAAGACATGGTGTGGTAGGTGTCTCACATATAAAATAGAGGAAGATGGCCATGGATGTTAGCTCAGGGCCAGTCTTCCTCAGCAAAAAGAGGAGGATGGCAGCAAAGGTTAGCTCAGGGCTAATCTTTCTCAAAAAAAAAAAAAAAAAAAAAATTACCAGCCAAATCCTCTCTCCAAAGTATATTTTGAATTAAGCTACCTTCTTAGCACAGGCCATCCCCTCTTTTTGGCCACTAGAATAGTCTGCTGCCTCACCTCCTCATGTCTGCCCTTGTCCCCTTTTCCACTCTCCACACCTCAGCACCCAGGTGAGTCTCTGTGAATGAAGTTGGATCAGATGATTCTCCAGCTTCAGATGCCTCTGTGACTCCCCACCCCTCTTTCCACGCCTTTCCAGGCTGTCTGCCCCTGCCCACCCTCTGACTGCAGACCACCACCACCCCTCCCTTAATCCAGCCACACTGAGGTGAGAGAATTTCAGTATTTTTTTCTTGTTCAGATTTTTCCCCCCAAACATAAGAAGCTTTCCCTCCTGTCAGCCTGTTACAATGCTGTTCCCGAAATATTCTTGTCTCTTGTCACAGTGCTTTTTATCCTTTTCCCTCCAGTCTTCATCCCTGGGGAAGCTTGAAAGTCACCTCCCCAGCAAGGCCTTCCCTGCCCACCCAAGTTACAGTGTTTCCCAACCTGTTATTCCCCACCCGGCATCCCTCCCCCTTCAACCACAATTTCATGCAGCAATCAAGAAATGTTCGTTCAGGACGTCAGCAACATGGCGGCGTGAGCTTATCCGGGACTCTCTCCCCTCCAAATTGCAACCAAAAAGAGCAACTGCTTTCCAACCAAAACAAAATCCTAATAACAGAAATCGTCAGAGACCCACAGCAGCCAAAGGACGGAAGGTGGAGAGGCTGGAGCTGCCCTCGGAGGAGCTGGAACGGGGTAGGAGAGAACTGCGCTCGCGCCCGTAGAGACTGGGATCGCTGCAGAGGGTGCGGGAAGGAGCGGGGGAGGGGCCGCGCGTCCGGAGATGTCCAGGACTCCCACTGCCAGAGCAGCAGAAACCCTCTAATAGGGGAAAGCTTTCGCGTGGGGGAGCCCCAGCAAGCCAGGGCCCCAGAGCTGATCCAATCCAGGTTGGCGTGAGTGAAAGTGTCCCTCCTCCCTCCACCCACGCTGCGGGCCGCCATTGTGGCTGAAGGCGCAGAGCTCAGCACGTGTGGCTCTAGACCTCCATCTAGTGGCGACAGGCTGTAACTGCAGCCGAATAATAGCAGCATGTGCAAAACCCACTCCTCTACCATCTAGCAGTTTATAAAAGCTCCAGTCTACAAGGAAAACAATAAAAATACAGAAGTAGGTCCGGAGGGCTTGGAAATGGGTAAACTAAGTGAAGAGGAGTTCAAAACAGCTATCATCAAAATATTCAATGAGGTAAAGGGAAATAGAGAAAAATAAGTCAATGAGTTCTGGAGTTACTTTACAAAAGAGATTGAAATTATAAACAAGAATCAATTAGAAATACTAGAGCTGAAAAATACAATGGATCAGATAACACAGAATACAGATTCCCTGAATGCCCGTACACACACCATAGAGGAGAAAATTAGCATAATTGAAGATAAACAGGCTGAATGGCTCCAGACAGAGGAAGAAAGAGAACTAAGAATTAAAAAAACTGAAGAAAATCTTAGAGAAATAGCTGACTCAATGAGAAAATGCAACTTAAGAATCATCAGAATTCCTGAGGGCGTGGGAAAGGAAAATGGAGCAGAAAGTGTGCTCAAAGAAATAGTAGAAGAGAACTTCCCAAATCTAGGGATTGAGAGAGAAATGTGTGTGGAGGAAGCTTTCAGATCTCCTACGTTTGTCAATGTAAAAAGACCTACTGCAAGGCATACAGTAGTAAAAATGGCAAAAATGAGTGACAAAGAAAGGATACTGAGGGCAGCAAGGCAGAAGAAAATAACCTACAAAGGAACCCCCATCAGACTTTCAGCGGATTTCTGTACAGAAACCTTACAAGCTGGGAGAGATTGGAGTGACATATTCAAAACTTTAAAGGATAAAAATCTTCATCCAAGAATACTCTATCCAGCAAAAATATCCTTCAGATATGAGGGAGAAATTAAATTTTTTCCAGACAAACAAAAGCTAAGGGACTTTGTAGTCACAAGATCGCCACTCAAGAAATCCTCATACCTGAAAAAAGAGAAAAAGGGAGTAAGGGGTCACAAAACACAAAGTAGGGAGACAAATAGAATCTGAATAGGATAGCAAGTATTCAACTATAGTATTAGGATAAAGGGAAGGAAATCACCAAAGCAAAGACAATCTTATCACTCTAACCACAAACTCACAACACAGGTTGGAATAAGAGATGAAAATAATAATTTAGGAGGGGAGGAGGAAAGGGACTGAAACACTCTAGGCTAAGGAAGTAACAGACCACCAGAAAATGGACTATGTTATACACGAGATTCTGAATACAAACTTCAGGGTAGCCACTAAACTAAAAAACAGAACAGAGACACAAAACATAAATAAGGAAAAGTCTAAGAAACCCAGCATAAGAAATTGCAGAAGTCAATGGGTAGGCTAAAACACACAGGATGAGAAACAAAGAAAACACAGGAAAACCAGGAAACGAGCAACAGAATGACAGCATTAAGCCCTCAGGCATCAGTACTCACCCTCAATGTAAATGGATTGAACTCTCCAATAAAAAGACACAGAGTGGCAAAATGGATTAAACAATAAGATCCAACAATTTGTTGCCTCCAGGAAACACTCCTCAGCTCCAAGGACAAACACAGGCTCAGAGTGAAGGGGTGGAAGACAATACTCCAAGCTAATGGCAAACAAAGAAAGCAGGTGTCGCAATGCTTATATCAGACAAAACAGACTTCAAGATAAGGCAGGTAAAGAGAGACACAGAGGGCCAATATATAATGATCAAAGGGACACTTCATCAAGAAGAAATAACAGTTATAAGTATCTACACATCCAACACAGCAGCACCAAACTTCATAAAGCAACTATTAACAGACTTAAAAGAAGATATCAAAAATAACACAATAATAGTAGGGGACCTCAACACCCCACTCACGTCAATGGACAGATCATCCAGACAGAAAATCAACAAAGAAACAATGGAGCTAAACGAAAAGCTAAAACAGTTGGACTTAATAGACATATATAGAACAGTCCATCCAAAAACAACCGAATACACATTCTTCTCAAGCACGCATGGAACATTCTCAAGGATAGACTATATGTTGGGAAACAAGGCAAGCCTCTACAAATTTAAAAAAATTGAAATAATAACAAGCATCTTCTCCGATCATAATGCTATAAAGCTAGAAATTAATAACAAGAAAAAAGCTGAGAAAGGCACAAGGATGTGGAGACTAAACAATATGCTATTGAACAAGCAATGGATCCTTGAAGAAATTAAAGAAGAAATCAAAAAATACCTGGAGACAAATGAAAATGATAACATGCCGTACCAACTCATATGGGATACAGCAAAAGCTGTATTAAGAGGAAAATTCAACGCAATTCAGGCACATCTTAACAAACAAGAAAAATCCCAAATCAGCAAAGAAGATATACGGATGGCCAATAGGCACATGAAAAGATGCTCATCATCGCTGATCATCAGGGAAATGCAAATCAAAACTACACTAAGATATCACCTTATACCCATTAGAATGACAAAAATAACTGAAACAAATAGTAACAAATGTTGGAGAAGTTGTGGAGAAAAAGGAACCCTCATACACTGCCGGTGGGAATGCAAACTGGTGCAGCCACTATGGAAAACAGTATGGAGATTCCTCAAAAAATTAAAAATAGAACTACCATACGATCCAGCTATCCCACTACTGGGTATCTACCCAAAGAGCTTGAAGTCAGCAATTCCAAAAGTCCCATGCTCCCCAATGTTCATTGCAGCATTATTTACAATAGCCAAGACATGGAAGCAACCTAAGTGCCCATCAACTGATGATTGGATAAAAAAGATGTGGTATATATATACAATGGAATACTACTCAGCCATAAAAAAGAACAAAATTGTCCCATTTGCAACAACATGGATGGACCTTGAGGGAATTATGTTAAGTGAAATAAGCCAGATAGAGAAGAACAATCTCTGTATGACTCCTCTCATATGAGGGATTTAAACATGTGGACAAAGAGAACAGATTAGTGGCTACCAGGGGAAAGTGGGGGTCAGGGGTGGGCACAAAGGGTGAAGGGGTGCACCTGCAAGACGACTGACAGACAACAATGTACAACTGAAATTTCACAAGATTGTAACCTATCATTAATTCAATAAAAAATTTTTTAAAAAAAGAAAAGAAATATTCATTCACCTACTGTGTGCCAATTGTCTGTTTCCTTGTGGGTGGGGTGGGGAAAAGCTGGATGGGGCTGGAAAGTGGGTGAGCCTAGACTGTAAAGGACTGGGGTCATTTTCCAGTCTGAGGATGGGGCATGGAGTCAGTATATCGAGGTCTGCAGAGCTGGGGAATGGATAGTTCACCTCTGTCCCGTGCCAACAGCTGGGGCGATGTGAGTTGGAGGCAGCTGGGGTCCATGGGAACCATTTACAGTGACTCCCTCATGCTCCCACATCCATAGTGGACCTCATGATCAGTCAGGATACTTTCCTTCTGAGCCTCAAAGTGGCCTCAGCATCCTTTCCAACACAGGCTGCCCTGTGAATTCCTTGAAGTGACCTAATTTGCCAGTGCAGATGTCCGCAATTTAAGATAGAACACTGCTTAGCTCTAGTTAAATATTTATAAACGTGTCCTTTTAGAGAAAATATAGGTAGAATTATTTCTTACAAACCATTATCTTGCTCTGGATTTATTTAATCTATTCTCCCCCTCCTTCTTTTTTTCCCAGGAGAAAATAATGAACGTCAAAGGAAAAATGATTCTGTCAATGCTGGTTGTCTCAACTGTAATTGTTGTGTTTTGGGAATACATCAACAGGTAATTATGAAACATGATGAAATGATGCTGATGAAAGTATGGCTTTGACTCTAATCTCCTGGTATTCACCAAGTCACCAGGTTGAATTAAAATTAGGATTCGCTGAGACCATAAAGAAGGGATTCCTCCCTTGCTGTATCCCTGACTCTTAGACTGTCTTTAAAATGGTTAGCTCTCCAAGTACCTCCTGGCTAATTAATTATCTTCCTTCCTGCCATGTTCCTAATGTCTTGATTTTTGTACCTTTGCAGTTCTGGGTAGGCTAGATCCAGAAACAGGAAGATCATATTTAGTCCAAAATGTAATTTTAAATTATTCATATGAGCAGACATGGAAAGTACCTGAAGAAATTTCAGACCACCCTGAATTCTATGAGAAATCCACCCTGCTTTTTGCAATCCTAAGATATTTGCAGAGTTTCAAGGAGCAACTCAAGTTCTTGACTTTTGCTGCAAAGTATACTGAATCGCTGGTGATTCATTTGTGCCTGGCTAAAACTTGGGGGTGTTTTGTTTTGTTTTTTTAACTCTGGAAAGCAAAATGAATTAAACATTTCTGAGTTTTCAAATTCATCCGTGATTCACCCCAAATGCAAGAGCTGCTTCTGTGCTTTTGGAAACTACAATGCCTCAGAGATTCCAGCTGGAGAGGCTTCTGACAGAAAGAAACCTTTGCAAGCAGCTACAAAAGATGCATGATGCCTTTGACTTAAGGTGCTGGTGCAGTTCAGCCTTTCGTTCAAAAAGTCCAACTCTGGGCAGGGAGACCTGTCTTGGCACTGCGGGGGAGGGGCAAATTCCCCTCTTGTCCTCTTGGTTCAAGACCAAGAGGCCTTATGGCTGGTTGAATAATTAAAATGACATAAGGCAGGTTAACAGGAGAAAAATCAAACAAAGTTCAATAGGTGCACATGGAGATGTCATATAAGCATGAGAAATTCCAGAGGTGGGCAAAATGAGATATACATATCATTCTGGACTAAGGAGAAGGGGGCAGGGAGCTGGGCCTTCAAAGGAAAGGAGGCAATTTACTGGAAGATGAAAAGAATTAATATTTGGTAAACAAATGTTTATTGGGCCATCTAGGAACAGAGAGGCCTTTGATCAAATGTTCTTCCCAGGTTCCTCCCTGTCTTCCACACCTAGTTCATGTCATGTTATGGTTATCTATGCTTCTTGGAATAGGCCTTCCATCTTAAATTCTTCTAGGCAGTTAAGGGGAAGGTTAAACTTTCTTCCTGAGTCTTTGTTCTTAAAAATGATCAGCCAAAATGATCCTCAAGCCAAGGGGACACATTTTGGAGTGGCAAATTCTGCTCCCCTACAGCACCATTAATATTTTCATGGTGAAGTGTTTTACTAGCCCCCAAGTGCAAGATGATGGCCTGGATTAACATTTGAATATCTCTTTCAGTTTTTAAATTCTGAGATTTGATGACCCAGGAGGACCATCCTGGCTACTAAAAAAGGATCGGCACCTTTTGGTCCATCAATAGAAGGAGGACTCTTTACAACGTGGGGGCTCTTGTTACCTAGGGTGCTGCATAGATCTAACCACTTCCAGAGTGTCATTCTGTTGCATTCTGAACAACTCATTTTAAGAAAACACAGCCAGCTAGAGTGTGACCAAGTTAAAGAGGTCTAGAAACCAGCTCTTTCAAACTGAGGAAACTGAGGGTATTTAGTCCAAAGGAAAGACGGATGACTCAGAGTTGTGTGCAGGGTCTTCCTTTGGTACTTGAGGGCTGAGGAAATTTCCTTGCTGGAGTCTGGAGCTAGGCTGTCTGGGGCTGGTCCTGTGCTACCACTTACCTCCTCTGTGACCTTGGGCAAGTTACTCAACCACTCTGTTCCTCAGTTTCCCTATCTTTAAAGATGGAGATAGTAATAGTACCTGCTTCATAGGGTTGTTGGGAGGATTAAATAAGTTATGGTGTATGAAGCACTTAGGGCAAAGCCTCAGACTTAATGAGCTCTCAGTAAATGCTAGCTGCATCGTCACCTCATCATCTGCCCCAGAGGGCAGAACAGGACAGGGAATTTGGGCAAATAGAAGGAAGAGCTCTAGCAGTGGGGAGAATCCAACAGAGCAAGAAGCACCCTTTGGGGTTCCTGCCCTGAGTTGAAATGCTTGTGTGGATAACCTTCAAGCTCTGAAGACTTGACTGCCTAACCTTGGTGTTGTGAATCTCAGCCAAGGTTGTACTTCCAGATTTTGGGTAGTCACAGAATTAAAATATGGGAGCCAAAGGCACAGATGTGCATTTTGGCACTGACCTCCCATAATGAGGGTCATTCTGCAGTGCTGGGCACACTCTGCACAGTAGCCACAGCAGGTTCGGGCTGCTCTTAGGGGCCATCGTCTGGCACTTAGACTGTGACCACATCATTCTTCAATATGAGGAAGCTACTTGAACGTCTTCAAAAGGCTTAAAAAGGCAGCAGACCCTTTGCCACCTTGTGCATTGGCCTTGTAATGGTTTGAGGTGAACTAAGGGCACAAACCTTAGACAGGTAGACAGCACTGAGCTAAAAAGGATTTTTAAATAACCCAATCAAACACATCAACTGATGAGGACAGAGAACTGTTGTGAGAAGAGCGTCCTTAAAGAATGTCATCCAGGACAATGTTTGCTGTGAGGCTGGATACAAAGAAAAATCGTAGAAATTTAGAGCTGGAGGAAACTTTAAAAGTTCTGATAAAATAATAATGAAGTTGATGGCAATTACGATGCTAGCAGCTACTACTTGTTGAGTGTTGGCAGGTGCCAGGAACTGCACCATGCATTCCTCCAGCTCTGCGATAGCCCGGCAATGTAAATATTAGCCCAAGTTTCTAGATGAGGAACAGAGTCTCCACAATGTCAGTGTTAATGTTCAAGGTCACATTTTCAGGAGGACTTACGTCCAGGGCTGTCTGACTGCAGCCCATTCACTTACCCACTGCACACTCCTTCCTTTAGTCAAGGGATTCCCATTTTTCAAGTGACGAAGTGGAGACCAAATAGGTAAAGTGACTTAGTGAATTTATGAGCAAGTTCTGACTAGAATGCACATCTTCTCATCCGTCGCCCGGGACTCCTCGCGCTACTTGTCTGTCCGAGTGCTGTGAGGGATACAATAGGAGCCAAGCACAACTCCTCCCCTCAAGGGGTTCTGGTCTAGATGGAGCAAGAAGACGTGTGTGTAAATAACCAATGATATGAAGTAGAGGGAGGGTATCAGAGGTAGAGAAAAGGAACTGTGACAGTTCCGGGAGGTAAAACTTGACGTTTGGCTTAGAGGGGGATCTATTTTTGCCTTCATTTAGGAAGATTTGTTGAGCATCTACTATCTGCCGGGCACTGGGTTAGGATCGGATCAAGGAAGGCACAGCAGAGGTAGCATTTGAGCTGTGCCTGGAAGGATGAATACATGTTAAATGCCATACACTGCAGCGTGGATATTGCTCTGACGGCTGAGATGTTGCAGGATTCCGGGAGAGGAGGGGGAGGAGAAAAAGGAGGGATTATTAAAGAGATGTGACAAGGTGGTGAGCGTGAACCTACAAATTGGTGCCCTGAGTGCCAGGTGGGGGTCTGAGTGCTGGGTTGGGGTGGACCCTCCCTCTTCTCTTCTTTCCCTTCTCCCTTCCCCCACTTGTAGGATCTGGAGTCAGATTCCTCAGGTTCAAATACTGGTTCTGCTCCTCACTTAGCAGTGTGACCTTGGGCAAATCACCTAATGCCTCTGAGCCTCTGTAGGATGAGGAAGCATAGAAGCCACTTCATTGATGGTTGTGAGGATTCAATGAGCTGATACATGTCAGTTGCTTAGAATAGTGCCTGGCCAAGTGTTAGCTATTATGAATATTGTCAGAATCGATATAGAAACAGGGAACTTTAGAGCGTGATCCATGAGTGCTGAGCTCAGAGGGGAAACCGTAGGTGCTGAAACAGCTTACGTTTTATTCCTACAAGGAGATTTGGACCCCCAGCAGGAGGAGGGATAAGAGGTTAAAGAGCCTTGGCAGAGTCTGAAACAACTATTGGTCATTTATTTTTTTCAGAGATGAGAGAGCTGGGGCCAGCAGGGACCGAGCCAGGGCAGGTGCCTTAGCCGAACTCCAGAACTCTTTCTACCAGGCTACATCCCTTTTATTCACAGGGCGGAGAAGTGAGCAAGTCAGCCTTAGCATTCGGGCACAGCTTCCCTGCACTGACAGTGGGGTAATCCTCTATGACAGATCCTGTCACTTTACCCCAGAACTGTCTCTCAAGTCAGGGCACTTCTCTCCCTCCATCTCCAAGGCTGCCTTGATCTGTGCCTGGACCACTGCCATCACCTCCTAAGAGGCTCACAGTGTACGTCATCTATTCTCCAGTGACCTTTTTTGGATGCAAATAAGACTGCTTCCCTCCCCTGCTTAAAACCCTTCAAAGGCAAAATCCCCAGCAGATCCCAGCAAGATCTGGCCTCTGGCTACTTATCTTTTATTTTCTTGCACATTTGAATGCCTCCTTCCTTCCTCAGGGCCTTTGCATATATTTCCACTCTGTCTGGAACTTTCTTCCTACTTTCTCTTCAGCTGAACTCCTATTTACCCTGCAGAACTTGGCTAAAACATCTCCTCTGGGAAGCCTTCCAGGACTTTGTTAGGTGCTCCTAGAAACTTATGATTTTTTTTTTTTTGGTAGCCATTCTTGGAGTTTGAAGTCCTGTAGCTGTGTGATTATCTCAGTAAGGTCTGCCTTCCCTGCTAGATTGTGTGTGCCACAAGGACACATAGTGTTACCACACAAAAATGGGGTTCTCCTACCTGATGGCATACAAAAAGTCAATTATTACAGCATCTGCTTTTGGGAAAAGAAATCAGCTTTATTGCCAGATCCATCTGCAAGGAGACAGGAGGCCTCAGCACTCAGCTCTGTCTCCCCAATCCAGGGCTTGGGGCAAAATTTATGGGACGCGGGGCAGGGCAGGGCAGTCTGAAGTGTGGCCATAGATGATTGGAGGTAAGGAGAAGTGTGGGAACTGATGACCTGCACAAGCGTGGTCAAGCTTCATGGGTCTTCTCAGGACGCATATTCACAAAATGGTGGTGTTACCATGAGTTTTCAACCTTTTGACGTCAAAAAGGTCACTTATTGGGCATTTGCACAGGCCCAGTTGATGGGTTGATGGTCTCAACTGGCCTGAACTGGACAAGGGGTCTCAGTTCCTGAAAAACCACTCTTAATTACTCTGTGGATAAGATGAGTTCCGTTTAACTGGTCCTAGAGGGCCCATGGTTACAAGAGGGGCTGTGTCTGTCTTAGCCAACATGGGGTCTCAGCATTTGACATGTGATCACGCTCAGCAAGTCTCTGTTGAATGAATGGAAGTGGTCCACTAGAGAGGTCATATATTCACTGGCGCAGCCCCATAGGTGCCTTAAGATGGTCTCACTGCCTTTGTTAGCTTAAGAAATGCCTTTTGAGGCTGCTCTCTAGAAGGCTCTGAGCTGGATGTGGTACTAGGCTCTGTAGTCACTGTCTTCTTTTCTGGAGGAAGATAAATCCCGGGTGAGGGAAGGCGGGGTTGTGGTGTTTCTGAGTATGTGAGCCATCTCTGGAGCTTCTCTCCCTCACTGAAGTCACCCCTGGACAGTGGAGAGCTGGCATCTTTTTTTTTTTTAACTAACATTTGAGAGTCTCCAGAGACCTCCTTCCCACCCCCTGGTCTGGGTGATCCTGAAGTGAATGCAAGTGGAAATTCCCAGTCTCTTGATATCACTGGTTATGTCTCAAAGGAAAGTGGAAACCCAGGGGTAGCTAAAACCCAGGCTCTCAACTCTTCCCAGGGCTTCAATGGCAATGGTTGCAAATCGCTTTTCTCCAAATTAACAGTAACATGATGTGTTTTTATTTCTCATTTCCTTTTAGCCCAGAAGGCTCTTTCTTGTGGATCTATCACTCAAAGTAAGTGCTTTGAATTCTAGATGTCTATGGGATGGTCCCACATCCACTCTTACCCACCTACAGACCATTCTTAACGTGGCAGCTGGTGGTGGAGCTCTGGTCAAAGTTGGGGGCCGGTTCCCAGAGATCTGGACCACATTCCCCTGGCCCCCTAGACCTGTGTTTATAGAACCACCACTTGTGTTTTGTCCTTGCTTCTCATCAAGGGTCTCTTTAAGTGGTGTCATTTGGAGAACATTCTTGCCTTGCTGATTAAAAGAATCAGGGTAGATATTGTCCTTTATGCTGCCCAGTACATGTTGTATAAAGACCCTTGCAAGAACTGTCTTTGAGATAAAGGATCATGAAAATATTTGGGTCTCCTGATGAACAGTATGTGTATTATTGTTATTACTATAATTATTAAATGCAGTGAGAACTATATAAGCCTTCATTTTTCTATCTTTGGCTTGGTTGCCAGAGCAAAGTGTTGTGCTTAACTGCTTGTACTTTCCCCAGCCTCATTTCTGATATAATTTATCCCCTGGTGTTAAATCTGGGCTTTTATGCTTGCAAAATGCCGTGGGATCTTGGCGATTTGTCCAAACCCACTCAGTCAATATCTCAGCCATAAGTGAAAATAAAGGTAAAACCTTTATTCTCATGAGTGGCTGCGATGAACAAGGTCATATGAAAATAACTACCTGAGAGACTGTTTCTTTTTCTGTCCCCTTTTGTTTATTCTTGTGTCGTTTCCCTCTTTATTGTAACCACACCATAACAGTAAACCATCCACCTCAACTACTTCCTAAAAGTATAGGGGCTTTAAAACAGGTTTCTTAGTATTATTACATCCGTTCATGCCTTATTTGTCCAAACGGAGGGCGTTGCATCTCCTGGGTTCCTTGTGTTTTCCTCCTCCAGAATGCCCCCACCTTGACCTTGGAGAAACTCTCACACTGAAAGAGTGTGGAAACTTCTGTGTGTGGGTAGCCAAGGTGGCTTCTGACTACAGTTTCCTGAGTTTCTGGTTCAGAGACATTCAGATTTCCCAAGGCTGTCACTGCTGACCTTTGTAGCGCCCCGAGTTTGCCTAGTTTAGCAGAAGAGATCATTCTTGGAAATGTGCACTGGGTTTATTTTTCTTTATTAAGATTACAGCTTGTTAGAGTAATTGTGAATGTATGCAGGCCTTTTCATTTAGTCTACCTTCATGGTAGGTTTATTATCATTATTATTATCTGACTTTTCAGAGCAGAAAATTGAGATTCAGAGAGGGAAAATGTCCTATCCCGGTCACACAACTAGTAAGTGGCAGCCCAGGGCTCAGTTTACGTCTCAATGCCCCCACCTTGTCATTCTTTCTCACTGCTTCTTTCTTTTCAAGGGCTCCCTGGATGATGATTTACGTTCTGGGGGCCACTCAAGGGAGGGGAGGTCCAGGTAGTGTCAGGTCCATCTTCTCTGATTCAGCTACAGTATCTTCACTTCTGTCTGTTTTACAAACTGGTAGTTTAAAATAAAAAAAAAATTTTGAGTGGTTTCTGCCATCAGAAGTGTTTGGGAACTCCCTAGTTTGGGACTGCCTCATTTTCTAAAATTGGTTGTCTTCTTTTTCACTCCTTAGAAACCCGGAAGTTGGGGGCAGCAGCGCTCAGAAGGGCTGGTGGTTTCCGAGCTGGTTTAACAATGGGTAAGGCGGTGGGACGGCCGTCTCAGTTTGTCCATCCCATGCTCATAAAGAGCCCAAGTAAGACGATTTCACAGCCATGACCTTCTCAGTCACTCATCTTTCTGGCTGATTGAAATCACACAGGGAATCTATGTCATGGTTGGGACTAGGACATTTAAGTTTGGTTTTTTGTTGTTTTTGTTTTTTCCATTTAACTTGGGCTCGGGATGAAGGTTAGATTGCAGGGAAGACTATCTTAAGCTGAAATGTTCTTATGAGGACTGTTTTGGCAAGTTTCCTTGCTAAATAACCAGCTAATAACCTGAGGGTTGTTGGGTCAGTAAATTACTACCTATGCTGATCTGGAGGGAGAATAAGATGGGTGAGTGGCGCACCTTTATGCCAAATGTACGTCTTTATGAGGAAACGTTTCGGATCAGGAACCTTCCTCCGGACATTCACTTGGGACACGTGTTCTCCACCTTGGCACACATTTTCACGAGATATTCACCAACTGTCCCGACACTGAAGATCGCTCTCCCTGCCTCACTCAGCTTCCTTTCCCTTTGTACGTAGGACTCACAGTTACCAAGAAGAAGACATCGACAAAGAAAAGGAAGACGATGAAGAAGAGCTTCAGCTCTCCGACTGGTTTAATCCACAGTAAGAAAAGTGTTGCCCCCTGTACAGTAAACCAGTTCAGCAGGAGATGGCGGGGCTGTGTAGGCAACAGCACCCTTGAGAACATTCCTGACTGGGGAGAAATAGTCTTAGCACATGTTAGACCTTTAACAACAGATTAGATGAGAAACTGAGTCTGGATGTTTTGACTCAAATGTTTGAACAATAACACAGTAATCCTGGCAGCAAGTGGCCAATCGTAGCAGATGAATCACAAAATACTGGGGCTGGATGGGGTCTTCCAGGCCACAGGGTGTTGTGGAAAGCCACAGGATCTAGAGTCAGAGCAAGAAAATTCTCTCTGAGATTCAGTTAACTCATCTGTAAGATGGCAATGATGATAAAAAATCTCACCGGGCCATGCATGCATTCATTGAGCAAGCACACGACAAATGTTTATCAAACACCTACGGTATGCTAGCCGGTGTTTTTCAAACTACTGGTCAGTATCCATTAATATGTCTAGAAACTAGCTTAATGGGTCAAAACCAGCTTTTTTAAAAAGAATTGAAAGTGAATAGAAAATCAGAGGGCCTTCCATGAAGTAAGGATAAACATGGTTTAGAGGAATTTTGGAAGGCAGCTTTGCTCACCACTATACCACCAATGCTGGACTTGTGGAATTTTGGTTTCTGTATAAATGTGTACGTGCATGTGTTTGGTGTGGTGTAAAGTGTATTTCTCACTGTGAGTTGTAGTCAGAAAGTCTATACCAGCTGTTGTGCTAGGTACGGGAGACGGGAGAAGGTGATCACTATGGTCACTGTCAAGTGGTTCACAGTCTTCTAAGGGTTCTAGATGTGAAACTAGCAATTACCAAGATTGGTAAGGAGGTATGAAACCTAACTTAGAAGGATGTGGTTTGGGGAATAAGGAGGTGGGAGCTGCCCAGGATGACTGTGAGGCCTGAGAGACTGGTGGGTGTTGGTGCCACTGACCAGGAAAGGGACTGGAGGAGGGGATGCGGGTCTGGGAGTGGGGGGGAGGTGATGAACTCGATTAGGGATGTATGTGGAGTCAGGTACTTGTGGGGCATCTGTAAGGAGATTTACAGAGTCCTTGTCTTAGTCCTTCAGCTGCTGTAACAAAATACCTCTTTTCTAAGGGTACTAATCCTGTTCCTGGGGGCTTTACTGTCATGACCTAATCACCTCCCAAAGGCCCCACCTCCAAACGCCATCACATTGGGGATTGGGTTTCAACATATGAAGTTGTGGGGGACACAAACATTCCATCTATAGCAGTGCCCGTGAGCTCAGCAGAAGATGTGTGGTGGAGATGTGAGATGAGGAGCCTCAGAGTACCTGTGGCAATGGGATCTGCAGGCCTGGATGGGGCCACCGAGGTAGAGGAGTAGACCCGAACCCTGTCTGACATCAGCATTTAAAGGGCTGGCGGAGGAAGAGAAGTGTGAAAAGGAGGAGGAACAGCGGTAGAGGTAGGAGGAGGATCGGGAGTGAGTAGCATCTATTCTGGTGTGAGGGATCTTGGGCTCTGGGAAGACTGAATATGTTCTGGCAAGTTCTCTTATTGTTTGGGATAGGGGATCTGCACCAGTGTGGAAGGATGGGCATTTTGGCCCCTCATGTGTCATTTGATGAGCTGGACAACAGGGTAGCCATCTATGAGATGTTAAACTATTACTAGAGATGTAAGAATATGGAAGATCATAGCCCAAGGGGTGGCTGGATGAGTCAGAGATGGTCACTAAGCTCCTTTCCTTTTGTTTTTTTTTTTCTAAATCTTTTCAATCTTTTTACTTAAAAAAAATGTTTTTTTCATGGTAACATTGTTTTATAACATCATATAAATTTCAGGTGTACATCATAGTATTTCAATTCCTGTATAGATTCTATCATGTTCACCACCTAAAGACTAATTACAATCCATCACCACACACATGTGCCTAATCACCCCTTTCGCCCTCCTCCCTCCCCGGTTCCCCTCTGGTAACCACCAATCCAATCTCTGTCTCTATGTGATTGTTTGTTGTTGTTTTTATCCTCTACTTATGAGTGAGATCATATGGTATTTGACTTTTTTCCTCTGACTTAGCATAATACCCTCAAGGTCCATCCATGTTGTCACAAGTGGCCCGATTTCATTGTTTCTTATGGCTGAGTATTCCATTGCGTCGATATACCACATCTTCTTTACCCATTTGTCCCTTGATGGGCACCTAGATTGCATCCATTCTTGCTTATTGTGAATAATGCTGCAATGAACATAGGCGTGCATGTATCTTTATGCATTTGTGTTTTCATGTTCTTTGGATAAATACTCAGCAATGGAATAGCTGGATCATATAATAGTTCTAATTTTAATTTTTTGAGGAATCTCCATACTGTTTTCCATAGTGGCTGCTCCAGTTTGCACTCCTACCAGCAGTGTATGAGAGTTCCCTTCTCTCCACATCCTCTCCAACACTTATTTCCCGTCTTGTTAATTCTAGCCGTTCTGACAGGAGTGAGGTGATATCGCACTGTAGTTTTGATTTGCATTTCCCTGATAGTTAATGATGTGGAACATCTTTTCATGTACCTGTTGGCCATCTGTATATTTTCTTTGGAAAAATATCTGTTCAGACCTTTTGCCCATTTTTTAATTGGGTTGTTAGTTTTTTTGTCTTTGAGATATGTGAATTCCTTATATATTTTGGATATTAACCCCTTATTTGATATACGGTTTGCAAATATTTTCTCCCAATTGTTAGGTTGTCTTTTCATTTTGTTGTCTTTTCATTTTGTTGATGGTTTCCTTTGCTGTGCAGAAGCTTTTTAGTTTGATGTAGTCCCATTTGATTATTTTTTCTATTGTTTCCTTTGCCTGCTCAGAAATGGTACTTGAAAATATGCTGCTAAGACTGATGTTGAAGAGCGTACGGCCTATGTTTTCTTCTAGAAGTTTTGTGGTTTCAGGTCTTACATTCAAGCTTTAATCCATTTTGAGTTAATTTTTGTGTATGGTCTAAGATAATGGTCTACTTTCATTCTTTTGCATGTGGCTGTCCAGTTTTCCCAACGCCATTTATTGAAGAGACTTTCCTTTCTCCATTATATGTTCTTGGCACCCTTGTCGAAAATTAGCATCCCCTAGATGTGTGGGTTTATTTCTGGGCTCTCAGTTCTGTCCCATTGATCTGTATGTCTGTTTTTATGCCAGTACCATGCTGTTTTGGTTACTATAGCTTTGTAGTATATTTTGAAATCAGGGAATGTGATGCCTCCAGCTTTGTTCTTTTTTCTCAGGATTCCTTTGGCTATTCGGGGTCTTTTGTTGTTCCATATAAATTTTAGGATTCTTTGTTCTGTTTCTGTGAAAAATGTTGTTGGAACTTTGATAGGGATTGTGTTGAACCTATAGATTGCTTTAGGAAGTAGGGACATTTTAACTATGTTAATTCTTCCAATCCCAGAGCATGGAATATCTTTCCATTTCTTGGTGTCTTCAGTTTCTTTCAACCATGTTTTATAGATATCAGCATACAGATCTTTTACCTCTTTGCTTAAGTTAATTCCCAGGTATTGTATTCTTTTTGTTGCAAGTGTAAATGGGATTGTAGTCTTAATCTCTCTTTTGGCTACTTCGTTATTAGTGTATAGAAACCCAACAGATTTTTGTATGTTGATTTTGTATCCTGCAACTTGACCTTATTATTTCTAAAAGATTTTTAGTGGATTCTTTAGGGTTTTCTATATATAAAATCACGTCATCTGCAAATAGTGATAGTTTCATTTCTTCCTTTCCAATTTGGATCCCTTTTGTTTCTTTTTCTTCCCTGATTGTTCTGGCTATGACTTCCAATACTATGTTAAATGAGAGTGGTGAAAGTGGGCCTCCTTGTCTGGTTCCTGTTCTTAGAGGGATAGCTTTCAGTTTTTCTCCATTGAGAATATTAGCTGTGTGTTTGTTATATATGGCCTTTATTATGTTGAGGTACTTTCCTTCTATACCCATTTTATTCAGAGTTTTGACCATAAATGGATGCTGTATCTTGTCAAATGCTTTCTCTGCATCTATTGAGATGATCATGTGATTTTTATTCTTCATTTTGTTAATGTGGTGTATCATGTTGATTGATTTGCAGATGTTGAACCACCCCTGCATCCCTGGAATAAATCCCACATGATCATAGTGTATGATCTTTTTAATGTATTGTTGTATTCAATTTGCTAGTATTTTGTTGAGGAGTTTTACATCAATGAGCATCAGTGATACTGGCCTGTAATTTTCTTTTTTTGTGTTGTCCTTCTCTGGTTTCAGTATCAGGATAATGTCGGCTTCATAGAATGACTTAGGAAGCGTCCCTTCCTCTTCAATTTTTTGGAAGAGTTTGAGAATTATAGGTATTAAGTCTTCTTTAAATGTTTGGTAGAATTCACCAGGGAAGCTGTCTGGTCCTGGACTTTTATTTTTTGGAAGGTTTTTGATTACTGTTTCAAACTCCTTACCGGTGATTGGTCTAGTCAAGTTCTCTATTTCTTCTTGATTCAGCTTTGTAAGGTTGTATGACTCTAAGAATTTATCCATTTCTTCTAGATTATCCAATTTGTTGGCGTATGGCTTTTTGTAATATTCTCTTATAATCTTTTGTATTTCTGAGGTGTCTGTTGTAATTTCTCCTCTTTCATTTCTGATTTTATTTGTTTGAGCTTTCTCTCTTTTTTCTTGGTTAGTCTAGCTAAAGCTTTGCCAATTTTGTTTATCTTTTTTTTTTTTTTTTTTTTTTTGAGGAAGAGAGCCCTGAGCTATCATCCACCACCAATCCTCTTCTTTTTGCTGAGGAAGATTGGCCCTGAGCTAATTCCTTGCCCATCTTCCTCTACTTTATATGTGGGATGCCTGCCACAGCGTGGCTTGACAAGTCATGTGTAGGTCTGCACCTGGGATCTGAACCAGTGAACCACGGGCCGCAGAAATGAAATGTGCAAACTTAACCACTGTGCCACCAGGCCGGCCCCTTGTTTATCTTTTCAAAGAAC